ACCCCCACAGCCGGCCCCGCCCCTGACCTGACCCCCACAGCCGGCCCCGCCCCTGACCTGATCCCCACAGCTGGGCAACCTCAGGCTTCCTGGACCTTCTCCCTTCCCTAGTGCCGGGCCAGCCTCCCCTGTCACTCAGGCCAAGAAACAAGGTTGCAGGAACGGGGTCCCACTGGCATCTGCACTATGCTGGGCCTGTGGGACCCTCAGGGCCCCCGCTCCTCAGACACAAGGAGGGCGTGGCACCCCCTCCCCAGATGCAGGGAGAGTGGGGTGGGGCAAGGACAGGTGTGAGCAGGACACAGGAGAGTCCTGTGAGCTCCCCAAAGAGGTGGCAGGAGCGACCGGGCACACAAAGACACACAACAACAGGGGGCCAGGCACATGGCGGCATCACCACGCTGCACCCAAGCCCGTCCACACGGCACCGACCCCCGGCACCGACCTCCATGGCCACAGAGCTCTCATCCAGGCCCGCTGTTCTGGGGGCCACGGCCTGAGCCTCCCACCAGACACTGCCGTCCTCACCTCCGTCTGTGCCTTGGGGTCCCCGGCCTTGGCCCTCTCCAGGACTTCTTCAAAGGGGGTTTCCATGTCTCCCTTCACCGGCCCTTTAACAGGAAAACAATGTCACGGAGCCGGCCTGTCGCTGGGCAGGGGCCGGGAGGACAGCAAGAACGGCCAGACCTGGAGCACTTCTCCATGAAAACCCGGTGAGAGAAGATGCCCCATGATGCCCCACACGGAGGAAGGACAGCAGCTGGGCAGTCAACTCAGCCTCTGCTCCGTCTCTGGGCGCCTGGGGAGGACGGGGCCACAGACCCGAGTCCCCCCACCTCCCTCGGCTCACTGCCTGACTGCAGCACTAGGAGGCCCCACCTCAATACCGAACCTGCACCCCGATGCCCTGCACCCGCCCCCCCCACAGACCAAAGGCACGTTTTCTGAGATTGCAGTCTATACACACATGGTCTTTGGAAGCCACAATCAGTGTGCATGCATTTTGAGATAACTTTTTATAATAGAGAGTTATAACCAATTTCCACGTCGACCTGTGGTGGGACTTACCATTCCAATGGCTCGGAAATCCTGCTGAGGGGACAGCCAGGCCGCGAGGTGTTCCCGGTCCCCTCCGCTTTATAAGGGGCCACACGCCATCCTGTGTGGCATTGTGGGGGCTGTTCTCTGAGCTGACGACCAGGCCCAGGCGCCCGCCCCAACGCCTCATGCTCGTGCCGCATGTTACTTTCTAAAGACTGAGCCCGTGCCAGCAGCACCACGTCCCTCACCAATCTCACCGTCACCTCCCGCGGTGCTCGGTGCTCAGAACCAGTTTCTGAAAAAGATCCCCTTTACCCCCCCCTTTCTGTGATTTACAACCAGTACTCGGGGCCTCCTGCTGTGCGGGCACAGGGAGGGGTGGGGCCTCCTGCAGGTGCAGGCACACAGGGAGGGGTGGGGCCTCCTGTGGTGCGGGGCCTCCTGCTGTGCAGGCACAGGGAGGGGTGGGGCCTCCTGCGGTGCGGGCACAGGGAGGGGTGAGTGTGGAGGGAAGCCTGACGGGGTGAAGCACCTTCAGCATCAAAGTGCCGCGGCCCAGCGAGAGCCGCCTCCGCGGTCACTGACCTCCAACAGGTGCATGAGGAAGGGGGCGCTGTCTTAGGTCCAGAGCCGGCGTCCACAAAACCTGAGCCTCAAGCCCCGCTTGGCCTGGCTGACACTGGACCCCACTCCTTGACCCCACACCTGCCCAGCGCGCCAGCAGCCTCGCAGCCTGTGCCCAGGACGCCTGCATGGTCCAGTCCTTCCTCCCTCGCACACCCAGCATCGCCCCTCCCGCCCGCTGTCTCCGCACCCGGCTGGACAGGCCCTCGGACAGCACTGGGGTGAACACTTCCTGGCAGTCTGCTGCACTCTCACCCAACGGTGCCAGCCCCCATCCCTGTCTGTGGCCTCGCAGCTGCCCAAGCGAGCACTTGGCCTGGTGCGAGCAGCAGGAGCCTGGGGACTCGGTGGTCCTGCGGCTGCGGTCAGCTGCTGTGACTGCACAGCCCAGATGTGGGGGGGGGGAGGGCCCGAGGCTGCCAACCTGCCCAGGACTTGTCCTTCCCTGTCCTCCCCTTCCCTCCTCTCCCCCCTTCTCCTCCCCTCAGGGGCAGGACCACACAGAAACCACATGCTTCCTGACTTCTTATCTGAAACTTCCAGGCCTGACTCCGTCCCCTCAGAGCCGGGCCTCTGCAGCCCGAGGAGGAAGGCCGTGTGGCTGGACTGAGATTCGTGCCAGGCCCTGGCCTGCCCAGAGCTTGGCGGTAAAAGCAGACACTCGGGGCTCCCAGAGGAGACGGAGATCAGAGCGCCCGTCGGGGCTGGCCCAGCAGGAACTGGACGGGAGCCTGGTCTGCGGCACCGAGCCCCGGGGCCCAGGCTCGGGGGGCGGGGCTGGGAGGACAGAGACTCGGGTGGCCCTTCACTCGCAGTGGTCCCTGGACCAGTCTGTGACTCAGTTTCCTCATCTCCAAGTGGGGATAGCAGCAGCACTCCCCCTGCGGGGAGGGGTCACATGACGCCCGGGGACAGCGACCCCACAGCGGTGCTCATCACAGTGGGGCGCTGTGTGGGCCTTGTGAGCTGGGGAGTCACCTTGGCAGCGGCCTCTCCCGGGAAAACATCCTGACCGGCTGGGCGCGCTGGAGAGGTGAGAGCGTGACCAGGCGGACTGGGGGCTGGGCTGCCGTAACTCACAGACCCCCTGGGGGAGACGCAGCCAGGAATAGGAGAGCCGGCACAGGTCCCGCCCTATGGTGGTGGGGGAGAAAAGGCAAGCATCCCCCAACATGCACGCGCACACACAAGCGCGCACAAACACATGTAGTTTGTGGCATAATCTGATACACACACAAGCCCCCAAACACAGATACACAGTCCTGAGCTGACCTTATGGTCAGTCACCAAAGAGGTGTTTAGTGGGGGTCATAAAACTCGATGGACGCACTCATGTGCAAGGGACATCCCAACAGGAGGCCCGAAAGGGACCTCAGTGAAGGAGCCAGGGGCCAGGAGACGCTTGGTGACATTCATGAAGCCTATCAAGTACCACAGCTCAAGATACAGCCCGTCTCTGTGGACCACGGGGCAGGTCCCTGCAGGGCGAGGGGCGGGGACTCAGCGGGATTCTGCAGGCACCGGCCTGAGGAATGTCCCTCCAATGCACAAGGTCCCAGCGCCCGCACAGCCCTCGCGGATGCCTCGGGCTCAGTACCACCCTCCCACTTCACAGATGCAGACATGGCTGGGTGACCCTCAAAGGCACCCAGCACGTGGCTGCCAGCCCAGTCACTCCTCCGCTAGTCTCTGGAGAGGTGAGGAGAGTGTGACCGGGGGGCTGGGCTTCGGTAACTCACAGCCCCTCTGGGGGAAACGTAGCCCATCTCCAAGGTCCCTCCGGGCCACGAAAGACAACAGACACACAGTCCGGGTGCCCAGACATTTGCTCTGGAGTCCGGTTGGGAAAAGCTCGGGAGAACTAAACGGGCAGCCAACCAGAGTTTTGTGGCACAGGTTTCTGCCCACCAGGATCCAATTCAACTGCCAGCAAGCAGTGCTTATATCCTATATAATAAAGAGCTAATATGCTAATTAGGCTGGATGGCGGAACAACCTTCCCGAACGACCTTCCGGAATAACCAGTGGGCGGGGGCTGGGGCTACAGGGCCACGAGGCAGCCAGGGCCGAGGCAGCAGGGGCCGTGAAGGCCTACTTTTGCACAAATTTCATGCATCGGGCCTCTAGTATACTAATAAAAGGGTAATATGCTAATTAGACTGGAGACCTTCCGGACTTCCTTTCGGACAAAGCCATGGTGGCAGGGCCGAGGCAGAGGTGGTTAGGGGCGATCAGGCTGGCAGGGGGTGGCAGTTGGGAGTGATCAGGCCGG